TGCTGCCTGGGGATGCTCCAATCGCTCAGAGAAAGGAGTACGAATGTACAGCTTCCCCACTGACACAGAGCGGAGGAAGCAGGAGCAATTTCACGACCAACAGCAAAAAAATATGTGATTTATATACAAACACTGCATTTGCACTTTTTCACAAAACGAAAACCACACCATTGGGAAAGCTTAATGTTTTGTTTAATACAAAAAACAGGGAAAGGCTTGAAAAACACTGAGAGTTGAGACTCAGGGTGCAGGGTGAGGGTCTCAGTGCAGGTATTCAGGCTCCATTGAATCCCCCTCTGGTTCTTGTGCTAAAAGAGGGATAAACAGACAGGAGAAAGGGTTATACACACACAGCACACCTATTGGATGGGAAATTGCCTTGGGGAGATAAGGTGTGGTCTTTGTTCCCAACTGAAGTTATGGAACTTTATTATTTGTGAGTTTAACAAAGTATGACAAATGGCATCAGTAACATATGTGATATGAATTTCTATAAAGTTGTCTCACATTCTTGGTCATATTCTATATACAGTATGTAATGAGTGTAACATGTCCAGTAAGTATAAAGTGTTTCCTAATACTGTGTATTCAACCACTATGGAATATGTATGTGGGCAGACAAGATTCAGACACAGTTGTTCTGTGTGTGAAGTAACCTCAAGTCACTCCGCAGGCACATTTTGATGCAGACCAGTTTGTCAAGACAAAAAAGGGCAAGACTAGGCTGAGAGCAGAGGCTATACCCACCATCTTCGTGCATCGCCCTGTGGTCAAAAAGAGAAGGGCCCCTGCACCACGATTCACCCCGGGACCTGTATCTACAAAGCCCATAGCTCATGATCACAGCGATAGTGTGAAAGGTGACACAGGTATAATAAGTATGAACTCTTAGTAACAAAAGTAATATTTCTTATTTTTAAGTGGTATAATATTTTAAATGTTCGAACATTTACAGTGCCATGTCTTCTACTTACATTAGTCTCAAAGATTGAGGGAAGAGGGGAAGGGATCACTGCCCTCCACCTGCCAGAGGAGCGCAAACAACAAAAACAAGCAAGGTGTCCCGTCATGTACCTGGAAGTTTGGGTTGGCAAAATGGAGTAAGAGAGGGACTTGAAAAACCTTGGTGGCTCTCTACTCCTGTTGTTACAGTTGTCTTGGTTACAGCTCTCACGTGTTTTTTTGTTGCCATTTCCACATCTTTAGAAAATATGAAATAAAAAATTGAAGTGAAATCAACCTCATCTCTGGAGAACAAACTTTGATTTCTCTGTCTTGTGAGTTTGCAGTCTTGCTCCTCCACCTGTAACATCACTGCCCCTCCACCTGCCATACAGTAGGTTACTAACAAGATTACTTATATAATACAGTGATAGAATACATGTTTAGTATGCTTACTTATATAAAACAGTAGTATTAAACTTACCTTGTGTTTTCACACTCACTTAAGTTCCTCTCCCTTTGCCATCAATCCAAAATCAGCTGAGCTGCAACATTATACAGACAGGTAATAATCAACATAATCACAAGGACACAATAGGCTTGTTTGAGACAAGCGAGACCTGCGCAGCGATCAACGTCTTGCTAGTGCGTTGCATGATGGTTAGTCATTTTGTCCGACTTGCTCTGGAGGCTCGCCTACATGAGACGTTAAAATCTCGCGGGACAAAGACGCCCGCAGCCTTGAGAGCGAGGCGCGGCGAGGCGGCGCAGTTCCTCTCCACGGGCTGCGGAAGCTAAATGCTTGATGGGAAACGACTCGCTGGTATTTCGAGCTGAGCGCTCATTGGTGGTTTTTACCACGTGCTGGTGATGAAACTCTCCAATTGGCTCGGCAAAAGTTTGTTGTTTTGTCAGTTTTACGTCGCCACATCCATTCACATTTTTCATCATTGTTCCACAATGTTTATCATAATGAAATTAATATCCATATATTTTATACTATACTTGCACTGCTTACCGCTTTCATACTTTATATATCTTAGCATATTCATACACACTGTTCATACTGTTCACAGGCTGATATCTAGTGTATTCATACCCCTCACTGTTTATTCATCATTCAATTCATTCTATATTTTATTCTGTCTATTGTGTACATTACTTTTCATTTTACTGCTTGTTGCACCTGGTTAGAAGCTAAACTGCATTTCGTTGTCTCAGTACCTGTAATATGTGCAATAACAATAAAGTTGAATCTAATCTTGAGCAGGAACAAATGTATTTACTTAGTACATATCTGACATTAACGATTAAACACATGTGTGCATTCTTTATAAATGCAAACCGAGTCAAGCCGACTCCGGAGGTGGCGGTATGCACCTTAAAGTTGTTTGCAATCCGCCAAATAACCGAGAGAAGAAGAAGAAGAAGGCGAAGAAGAAGATGAAGAAGAAGAAGCCGACTCGTAGCTGTCCGACTTCAGGCGAGCTTTTTGAGACCTCCCCCGGCTGCGATCGGCTACTCTCGTCTACTTTCGAGGCGAGCCGCAACGCGTCTCAAACAAGCCTAATATGGCTCTGCTAAAAACACTCACTCTTACACGCACCAAAGTTATATTTATCTAATATTTAACTCCCTCCACCCCCGCATACAATCCCGTTTAGAAGCCCCTCTTCTCTAATTCAACAACGTTGGACCAAATGACATTAAGAGAACGGAATTTACAATTAAAAGGTTGTTCAACGTCTGTTGCTAACTTGCTTCGGTATCCTAGCTTGATCTGTTATCTGTAAACGTTAATGTAAATCAGTAGATTTAGGGATAATCCACTGACATCCTTTAATACACATGTTCATTTGAATCAGATGTACTGATAATATCCGCAATATAAATCTTTAAACTTCTTCTTACCTTTAAAAGTCCGTCACGAACGGTTATTATGCTGCAACTCTACCGCTCTGCTCGCCTTGGCGCTAACTTCCGGGGAACGATTGAGAGGCTCCACAATCCGCCATTGCTGTAAAAAAGTGGTCCATTGGAGTGAACGGAGATGTCATAACTCTTCTATTATACGGCTCTGCTTTATCCGTCGTTATATGTAGAAAATATTACGTTTTCTCCGTAATGTTGTTTCCATAACAACAACAACTTCCTGTCAACTGTCCTTCAAAATAATATATTATATCCTTTTTAGTTTCACAGAACACAAATTGGGTTATTTACATAATATGTTTACATGATTTTGTTGTGCAATAAAACAACCCGATGGACACACGATAAAGGAAATGTTCAAATTCGGCTGTGATCGTAGCAACATCGGGCCATTCGTGAGGGCATCTTAAGCCTTCGTATGACCGCCGGTGGAGTTTCTCAGGCTCCGGCAGCAACTTCGTGAGCGGTGGCAAAATCTTTGGCATACCAAAAAATTGCCGAAGGACCTTGCGAAGGTTCATTTTCGTGTTGAATTTGTGTGTCAATGTTGCCCTTCGTAAGGCCATCGTGAGGGCATCTTGTTATCATCGGTGCCATCGGGGCATTCGCCCCGATCAGAGTGAGGATGAATGCACCGATGATAACACGAAGATGACACGATTTGACAAGATGCCCTCACGAGTGCCTTACGAAGTTGCCGCTCACGAAGTTGCTGCCGGAGCCTGAGAAACTCCACCGGCGGTCATACGATGGCTTAGATGCCCTCACGAATGGCCCGATGTTGCTATACGATCACAGCCGAATTTGAACATTTCCTTTATCGTGTGTCCATCGGGTTGTTTTATTGCACAACAAAATCATGTAAACATATTATGTAAATAACCCAATTTGTGTTCTGTGAAACTGAAAAGGATATAATATATTATTTTGAAGGCGAGTTGACAGGAAGTTGTTGTTGCTATGGAAACAACAACATGACGGAGAAAACGTAATATCTTCTACATATAAAGATGGAGAAAGTAAAGAAAAGAAGCCTGAAGATATCAGTACACTATCATAGTACTATAACATAATTGTTTTTGTTACTTTCGTGGCAGTTGTATGTCTTAAATGTAATGTAAATGTTGCCTTCGTGTGTGGTTCGGGGCCATCTTCGTGCGAAATTCACAATTCCATATTCGTGTGTCCATCGGGTGTCAATTTCGGGACAGTGTGACAGGGGCTTTAAGGAATGTCAGCTGTAATTATAGAACACTTCTCAGAAAAATAAGGTTTATTATGGGGGTGTGGCTGAACTGTTACAAAGCCTGATGAATGGCACTCAGCATCTGTTGTCGACACACACAGGCAACCACACTACATTAATGTATGACATTTCAGTCGAGTGAATAGGCTTTTATAAGCTTAAATATCATTTGATCAAATGTATAAAATCCCTGATTATCCCTCACAAAATACTGTAATTAATTTAAATTGAAATATATTTTCTCTCACCTCCGTTTTAAATCTTCTTCAAAGAAGAGTTGATTGTTTAAAGTTTTCAGCCCTTGTTTTTCTTGCATTTATTTATTGGCTCACAATTACTACTGTGGAAATCAAATAAAGGTTTGGAATTAGCTTTAATAGCCTTGAGGTAATTTATTGAGTGAGAATTGCAGGATCAAGCGCATCCCTGCAAATAAAACCTATTTAGTTTAGCTTCTAACCTATTCAGCGTTTAAGGAACTTTTGCATCACCTCTTCATTCATTAATTTTCTCCAACCTCATAAAAGACCAATTGTGTGATCTTAAGATTATGTTGTTTTAGCATATTTTAAGTAGGCTAGAATTGAAGGTTGATTTAGAGGTGCATTTTCTAAAACGCAAATGTAAAAATGGACGCAGCTGCACTAGAAGGAAGCATGCCTTTTAATAGTGTGTGAGAAACAGTGAAGAAGGGCCCTCACATGAAAAAGCCTATTTTGATGACCTGTCAAAGACGGCAGCTCATAGTTTGGAGGCATAAATCCTCTGCTCCTTTTCATGTATCATGCGTGTGCCCTTGGTTACCTTAGTAACTCTCCTCTCCATCTCCAATCGGCGCTCCCGAATGCCCAGCCGAGAACGCGCCGCGCGCTCCCGCGAAGCTCGTGTTGAGCCGGAGTGTCTTGGCAAAAGCATCAAAACGCACCAGGACTAGAAGGAGAGCTTTCCGCTGAAAAAACAACAACAACACGGGACAAATGCAGTGAAATAAGACTGGAGTGAGGATATTGAAAGACGGTACCGCTTCACAGGAAGGTCATTCCCTGAAAAAGCTAAGCAGTGCGCAGACTGTACGGATATTTGGAGTATACCCGACTGCAAGTGAAGAAGACCCCGAAGCTGTGGAACATTGTCCCGGCTTTTTATTTTCTGAAAAGCAAGGCATGGGGGGATCCACATCTCGACAAGGCAGGTGAGTCATTTTATGATACTACTTGATGAGCATTTGGGGGTAAAAACCTGAAGGCTGCGTGCGTAGTGAGAGAGTTAGATGCAGGGGCACCGGGATACTTGGATTACAATTATACCAGTTTTGTTTTTAATTATTACTTAAATATGATAACAGGTATTTTTGTTTTAAGCTACATCGACGAAGCGCAGTACACCGGCACAAGGCACGTACACTTCCAAAACGCATTTAGATTTGTGTGACTTGAACGGACTAAACCGAGGCTCATTAGAGGCAGAAATGTGGGTGCAGGGTAACTGTGTCTTTTACCCACTCTGCCATACGTAAGATGTGCAAACACCCCGCTGCACACGTTAATGCAGGGAGTAAAACACATGCGATAATTGATCAGAGCACTTGTTACTTGGGCATGAATATATCTTGTGTGCGTGATGGAGCAGTGACGCGCAGCCAGGCTCTCTCTCCTTCCCTCTCCCTTTTAACGCAAATGAAATAGCCCGGTGGCTTGCTTTAGGCAAATTAAAATGTAAGCTCTAAAGTTTAGGGGGAATCAAACGAAGAAGTAAAGAATCAAATCGCCCAGGATGACATCAGATCTAAAGATGTTTGTTTGCATAACGCGAGTGCGATCTGGCACTAATTTGCAGCAGGCTACCTCCATCTGTTGTGGTGATGGAGCAGGATGGTCCGCCACAAGCGTACCTGGGGGTTCCGATTTTCCTATTATTATTTTTTAAGTTTTGCTAATAAGTTGTATATTTAGTATTTGTCTAGCAGCTATAATGATAGTGCACACTTCTTTCTAATTTAGAGTGACACAGAGTGTATATGATCTTTTATTATATGCATATTTCCATGCCTACTGATCACTGTAATTATTTCTGAGGCTGCAGCATAAATGTAGGCCCTCTTCATCATTGATCTTGAGTTGTGTGATGTCTGCTACATTCTAGTGAGTAGCCTTACTTTGCCATCTTTATAATTCCCATGACAGCTGTAAAAAACACATGCACACACTGCTTGTGTAAAAACGGAGTATATTGATCATGCAGGCCCCCATGTGCCTTCTTCAAATCTTAGAATTCCTGACACATGGGAAAATAAGTGTTGTTATAGTCAATAGAAGAGAGAATAATTAACTGAGAGTTGAATCCCAAAAAATGGAAAGAGGGAGCGAAAATGTCAAGCAAGAGTTGTCATGGTGATTGATTAAGTACGCTATGTGTCCCTGCGTTTGGGAAATGATCCAGTTTTTTTATTTGGCATGCACACCACACTATTGATGAAAGAAGCTCTTAATGGGCGATAATAACTCAGACTCATTGAATTCACATGTTGTTGTTGCACGCATTTAAGAACCACCCTATGAAATTTGATTAGCACCCTTTGGAATTTGATTTGCAAGCAAATTGCATTCATTTATATTGTATGTGTGCCTTCAGTATCATGTGCAGGATTATGCATGCTGCTGCTGCTGTTGCTGCTGCTTGTGAATTCTCTCTATGGCCTTTCAGAGTTTGTATTCCAGTCCAGCAAAGTGCTATTCTTCAAGTGCCCTGCTGTTTTATTATCCATTCCTTATATTCTTTGCTTAAACAAAATCTGGGTTTGTGCTTGTGACAATCATGGCTGCTAAAAACCGAGCTTTGGTGTTTCAGCTGTTGGAGTATAATTACCGAGCTGCTTGCTGAATGTGTTCATTAGCTGGACATTTTGGACCTAGGACCTAGGACCTAGAGAGGAGGTCAACACGTGATCACTGACAAGCCCAAACACTCAAACACACAACATTTCAAAGTGCAGCACGAGTCTATTGTTTATCCTGTGAGTCTCAGAACTGCTCAAGAAAACCTCCATGAGACTCCCTGTCTGCTGCAAAGGTCAGCGAGGCTTCGTTCTGACCTAAAGTGAATACACCTGAGTACACCTTGGCCTGACTTAACATGGACGAGAGGCCTCTTGTTCTTAGCCTTGAGTTTCTTTCCCCGCATTTTCTCGTTATTGCTCAGACGCTTGGATGGAAGGTGTGCTAGCGCTTGTGCGTGTTGGAGCGCGTGTGCAAGTGTGTGCTCCTGTGTGTATATGCAGAGGTGTGTTGTTGCACATATGAGAAAGACTGAGGAAGGTTATTTGTGTTTTCTAATATTCTTCATTGTGTTTGACGTGTTGTCTTGGAGCAGCAGGAGCAGGAGTTGAATAATTTCCCAAATGGATACCTTCTGACCTTCTGAAAATATGTCCTATCGCTGCCTATCCCACACCGCAAGAAAAGCCTGTCATTGCTCTAGCACTGTTTTCCCTACTTGGCAATGTCATACACACACAAAAAAGACAGTTGTGTAATATTTGGATTTAATGCATATAGGTTTAGTCTACATTACCAAGCAAACGAGATTCAGAATTGCATGGCCTTGATGAAGGATGGTCTTAAGACACACTATAAAAATGTCATATAAAACAAACATATACAGAGCCTTTCATCTATCTTTTTTTCTCTTTTTGCAAGAGTGGGGATAAGCACTTAAATCATACATGATTTAAAGTACTTCTGTTTTCTTATTCGGCTAAACAATGGCTCTAAAAACTGTCGGGTTAAAGCAACAAAGTAATTTATACCGAAGTAAATTTGTATCATGGCGTGGCTAAGCTCTCTCAGAATCTGACTATCCACAGATATGTGGTGACTAATGAAGGAGGATAAACTTGTCTCTTCATATTTGCTCAGGAGGATGAGCTTTCATCGTCATTAAATCACACGTTTTGTCACGAAATTACCGAAAAACATCCTGATTGTTTTCTTAAAGTATTACTTGAAACCAGTGACATCCACTCGATACACTTGTGTCATATTAGTTTTAATAATGAATAAGACGAATTTGTTAAATCTGTGAAAAGATGAAGGAGTCTTTGTTTGACTAACAAAATGGTTTTGGCCTGAGGCACAAAGATACGCCTCAAGTCTACTGCACATAACATATTTAACAGAGATTTTACATTGTTCATGGCCCAACAACATCTCCCCTGACTAACAGGTTTCCCTGCCAAAGACCAATGTCTGCTTAGTGAACAGGATTCTCTTCACCATTCTAACTACAAAGCAGATGTCACACAGTATGTCTCCACTCACTGTCTGCCAGAAGTTATCTATTCATTATTTATTTATTAATCATAAAATTCACACTCAATAATCACAGACAGCGGACAGAGCCTGCTGAGTAAAAATCATGGACCTAATCGAATAAGCGGCAGAAGTGAGGAGCAATTTTCGATTGTTTTCCTTTTGAAAAGGAGACTTTTAAAAAATGCATTACATGGAGAGAGGCAGGGAGAGGAGGGGGCGGGAGGCTGCGATGATAGGGAGAGCGGCTCTCGGATGCAAATCTGTACTTTAAACTTACATAAGCTTAGCTTGGGATGAAGCTCAGTTCATTTCATTCATGTGGCACATGCGAACAACATGAATGACCTTTCTTAACTCTGGTGTACAGGATTCAATCCTGTGAAGCAGTGCATGCAAGTTTGTTTACATCCCATTGATTTAACTTTGTCAAAGTGTCACACTTTCTTCCAGACTAGGACTGTGGTTTGCACAGTCTACTTGCACATGTGGTATGACATGACACAACAAATAACTCTCAAATGTGTGTATAGATTTCTGAAGCCCCACACTTTTTGTCCTCTAAAAGTCCACATCTGCAGCTTGCCAGCTCATTTGAATTTTAAATGATCTGTCAAAGAGAATTTAAGGCAAGTCTGAGAGGAACAAAGAAGCAGTCACTCTGTCCTTACTGTACTTTGTGGCTGACAGGGTGAAACCCTGCCTGTTTGTTTTTAAAAAGTCTACCTTAATCCATATGAATCAAATTGCATTTTATTCCTCTTAATCCACCCTGAGATTAGACAGACAAGTGACAGGGAATCAACATTTTAAAATCCCTGGGATGAATGTTACTGTCCAGGTAAAGTTGATGTGGCAGAGTGTGCCCCCCTGTCAATTCCCTGGTTTCTTATCCAATGAAGTCATCGCTAAGCCCCGTTCTCTCCTCATTTTTCTTAACATAAGTGAGTACTGTGTGGGTCTGGCAGGACACAGAAGCAAGGGCCCGTCTAATTCATGGGGTAAATTAGTGAAGATAAGGCCTGAGTCAGTACCTCCAGCTTCCCATAGATCCCCCTGGGGCCGGCTCTTAAGGAGCTTAGTAAAAGCCTGTCGTATGAAGACATGACATGGAGCTGGCTAAATGGGCTACGTTGGAGTGTCTTCCATCAACCTAATATTCATATATGGGTCACTGTCGTTCAAGCTTTAATCCCATTCAATGTATTTATTCTTGGTTATTAATTCAGAGTTTTAGGAAAATAAGGCACTATGTATAAGAAAGGTGAAATAGGCTGTATTAGTGAGGCTCAAATGCATACGCACCAAACTGACAGAACACTTAGGCCCACTCATAAGACCGTGTTGTGTAACAGTGTGTGCCACCAAATCAATAATGAATGCTGGTTTAACCGTAGTAAAAGAACAAGTAAGAACTGCTCCAGAGTCACTGGGTCACATACACTGGGGAAACAATTAGAGGCTTCCTCGCGCATCGCACTGCCACAGCTTGTTTTTTTTGTTTTTTTTCAGCAGCGTGCATTTCCCGTAAATGTTCTCTAGGGTCCAGCAGCATCGCAGTATGGCTGCTGGAGAATTACAGACACTGGTCTGTCAGAGTCTTTCCCAGACTGAGCTACAGAAAAAAAGGCAGTGTCAGGTCCCTGTGATGTATGTGGGGCCACGTGAAGTGGAAAGCATGGTGACTGATAGGACACCAGTCTTGCGGGTGTGTGTGAGTATGTGTGTGCGTGTGTGTGTGTGTGTGTGTGTGTGTGTTAACCTCATAATGCTGACAGATTACAGATTTAAATATTTTAAATCTCACAGAGCACATGCTGCTGGTGATGAAGAGAGTGGAAATGACTGCAGTAATGCAAGAGATTAATAGAGATCTTTCCTCACT